TGACCCTCCAGAGTGCTGCTCTTTGCAGCATCCATGTCTCAGAGTCAATTCCCCAAATCAAATTCTAATGGCAAACTCTTATGACATTGCATTTGGGGTTAATGACTCCAAAAACAAAGCTAATAGTTCTCACCAGAAGATCTCCTGGCAAAGCAAGTCAGAGGCTGTAGATGAGATGCCCGGAGCAGCCACTGAATAATCCCTTTTCCTAGCAAGTAAATCACCCAAAGCCACTGCATGGAGTTGAAGAGACCTGTCGTGTCTTGCAATTCATTTTCACTGCTTTATGCAAGTATTTTGGGGTACTTCTTTAATTTTAAATGTGTACTGGCCAATAAGCCAGTATGTGGCAATGCTGATGGTGGTACAGATACACCCCCCAAATTCACACAACAGGGCACAGTGCTAGAAGCTGTACAGAATAAGGAGAAACAGAGGCCAGATTTACCCTGATGACACACTCCTCTTTCTCATTTGAGACAAGCATAGAGAAATAGTCAAGGAATGCCATGTTTTTCAAATAGCAGATTTCCCTTTTTTGAAATCACCATTGATTTCAAACTACACCAGGGAATAGTATAAAAAGGAAGATATTTTTCTGTAACAAAATATAGAAGAATTGTTGATGTTTAATTTGAAATTTCCATTCCAGAGGAAAAGGAGAATGGAAACTTTTAATTGAAATAAAAACTTTTTGTGTAAATACAAAATGTTTATATCACTCAAAAATTAGATATTTTGGTTCATTTTATTCCCAACCCAGTCCAAATTCCAGTGTCCACAAATCAGCATTTGTGACCTCCTGAAACCAGGATGTGAACTCTTTCAGTGCCCAGAGGTACCAGGGGTCTCATTTCAACCCTTTCTCTGAAGAGTAAAGTGCTTCTCCTACAGAAAAAGAAAAAACATGTAGCTCCACATGTGGTATCTCTGGCACCAAGTGACCTGTGGTGTCCTTGGACATGTTTTTGGGAAGGTCAGTGTCTTCTTTTCTGAGCTTTCCTCTTTCATTCATCATGCCGGCCTAAATTTGGTGGAACCTAATTGTAAAGCTGTCCTTTCTTTACATCTATTTACACTGAAATCCCTTCTCTGAAAGATCTTTCAGGAAATCTCTGCTTTTCCTTCTTTTCCTTAAGGCTCTCAGTCAGGTTCAGATGTTGCTGTGACCCAGATCAGGAGGCTACTCCCGAGATGTGGGGCTGGGGACAGTGGGCTACCAAAGGATGGAGATGGCTGAGCTGTTACCGCATCCACTTCTCCCTGCCCTGTACCCGTCGGGTGCCCAAAGCGCACAGAAAAACCTCCTGCTTTGCAGACACGCCAGGAGCTCTGCTTGTCACAGCTGCAGCAGCTCACCAGCTTATTACACCCTTCTGCTGCTGATTCTTCTGTGCTCAACCACGCTCTCAGAAACCTGGCCAGCCTCCTCTTTTGTACTCCTGCCTCAGCAGAAGAGCAGACAGTACCTGGATGACAGCAGGAGCCCACGCGCCACTGCTCTTACGAGCCCTCCAGGGAGCGGAAATACCGGGAAGGTTCTTGAGAAACGAAACTCTTCTGGGTGGGATGTGGAGAAATGCTTTCAGTGAGACCCATGACATCAGTCAACTAACAAGCTTTTTATAAGCTTTTTATAGCCTAAGTGCATGAAAAGTTCCATGCATGGGAAGGGAACGTGGTAGCAAATTCCCTTTCCCTAAAGTTCATACACTTTGTTCCGTACTGCCCTGATCAATAGAAAATCTACCATAAATATAATCAAGCAGCTGAACAACGCCCCAATTTACACCACTCTTCTAAAACAGTGTCTGTTTCCCAAGAAAGACTATAAGCCCAAGTTTCCAAAATATTTCACCACCTCTCACTGAAAAAAAGGACCTAAAATAATCTACAACCTGTTTTATTTCTTCTCCTCAGTGTTCATCTCCCTCTCAGAATACAAATATCAGTCTCTGGCTTGTAACTCACTCCCTAATGGCTCCCAAAGCCATTCCATTGCTGGAAGCAGCACACTGAACCACCCAGGCAAAGCCAAGATTTTATTAGAGTTTAGACAACAAGCAGGTGGCCAAAGCTTCCCCCCTGCCAGCCCCCTGCTTAATCTGCTTCCAGGAGTCAGCGATGGAAGCAATCAGCTCTGACTGAGATGCACCTCACCCACTGCTCAGTCCACCGCCCTGCACAGGAGCTGTGGAATGGGATTTTCAGGTACTCGTCAGACACACATGTGAACTTTGTTCAGGTTCAGTCTAGCTCATAGATGAGATCACTGGAAGAAACCAAGAACCAGTTCCAGGAAAAAATCCTGATATTATCCACCACCCCTCAACTTTTCTGCGGTGCAGGGATGTAGATGCAGAGCCCCATGCCTGCTGCTCGCAGCTCAGTCAGCCGAGGGGAAGTGCCAGGCACAGAGCCCCAGACAGCACTTCGGCTGGATGAATCCATGCCCAGGCAGAGCTGTGTGTCAGCTCTGAAATTAAGTGCTCTTGTGAAAGCCTGAGTGCTCCTCTGAGATGACACGTGCCTGCTCTGGAGCTCTCTGCCTTGCCTGCCTGTTCTGCCCTTTTGCTTTTCAGGGCCCAGGTGTGGAGCACCCACCACACTGGAACACTAAGCAATGTGTAGTCCCTGCCCAAAGGGTCTTGTGTGTTCTCTGCAATCTTCCTGTTGAATCACAGACAAACAAGCTGGTGAGCCACAGCTGACAAGAAAAGCAATAAACTCTGTAACTGACATGTTCAGCTGAGAGTTTTTGTGTGTGCTGATAAATTCTGCTGGTGTAAGGAGAGCACCCTTGACAACTTTACTGTACTGTTATCGTTAAAATTAACTGTAGTATTAAACTCTGAAGAAGATTCAATAAAAATCTCCTGTTCCTCAAGGAAGCCTGATTAGAACACAATGTGCTCTCAGAGTCTGTGCTAACTACAGAACTTTTTTTTTTGTTGATCTTGGAAAATCCAGGTATTTGGTTTTTCTTTTTTGTCAAACATTTTCTCTTTTGTGCTCAAAGCATACTCTAGGAAATTATTCCATTTTAATATAAAATAACCTAGCCATGAGCTGAAATGCTAAAATCATTTTCTTAATCTGCTTTATTATAACAGTCCAGGGGAACACTGGGCAGTACTTACACTCTGAGCTGGAAGGGGATGCTGGGGTTATTGCAGCGAATACCAGCAGCTCAAAGTGTTCTGACTGCAAAGGGAACTGCTGCCCGTAGTCATTGCATTTGGAGACCATGAAGAGGAGGTGTAAATCCTAGGACCTCTAGCTGTGTCAGGAATGGCACATTTTGAGCAGATCCAAGTCTGGAGGCTGGGGAGTCTATGTGGAGCAAGCTGTACCCTGCCTGCAGCGGATCATGGTGTGAAAGCCCGGGGGATTGTGTTGGCGCTGCTTATTTAACACCCCCTCCGCAAGGCAGCCTTGGCACAGGACAGTGTCTAACGAGCTGATGATTTGATGTGAGACCCTCTGGCTCAGAGCTGAACACAGGCACCATCACTGGAAGGGGCTACATAAACAATCCAGACAGGTTGTCATTAATAAATATTCCATGAATTACCAAATGATCCTGCAATCATTTCCACGCAAAGCAACAGCAGGAGCCAAGAACTAAATTACAGTACAGTGCCTGCATAAATTCCTCCCCTTCACTTCCCCAGAGCTCTCGGTTCAGCTTTTGTGTCAAACAAGTGTGCAGGTACGGTGTGTTTTTTATGGCTATGCTCCCCTCTTTGGGGCAGTGAAAGCCAACCATGTAAAACATTTCAGAATGAGACTTCAGTGCAAGATGAAGTGCTCCTGCATGACAGTACTGTTGGGATAGTCTTCGGTTTTCACAAAAGACTTCCGGTGTTCCAGAAACTTCCCTCAAACTCTTGGATTTTCATGTCATCAACGAAAAAGTCGCCAGCATTTATAGATCCTCAAATTGTTTCCCCAAGTCACAGCTGGACTTGTGATCCATTTAACTGTTAAAATATGGGAAGACATCTCACACCAGCTATCAGCAGAGGGGAAAGCTTTTCCTGCCTGGCTCAACATGGTGATGAACCCCATCCTCATGGAACTGGGGACTCAACTCCTGTGGAGAGAGCCAGGGAAGAAGAGTGCAGGCACCTAAAAGCCTTGCTGCAACCTCCTCCCTTCTGCAGTCAGCATTACTGTGGAGATGAAGGAAACAAAAAAGCAAAGACTGCAAACAAGAGGAGCTGGCTATTCTTGATGGAGGTTTTCTTATTGCAAGCAGCCTGAATGGTTTGTAATCATCAGAAATGCTGCCACTAGAAATACCCTGGGTTTATGCTGCCAATTTGAGTGGCTTCATGCAAGATTATGATTGCTTCAGACTTTCTCTTCCCCCTCTCACTGACAAGTTGTAATTCACACCAGAAGCAATATCATCCAAGCTATTCTCAAAGCCTCTTCCATATTGTCTAGTCCTCATCCACCCCCAGATCCTTGAGATTTGTCTCCTGAATGAAGGCTGCAAATCTTTGTACAGAATGGCATGAGAAGTTTGAGCATCTGAGTTATTATGTAAATGCAGCATCAATGGTACTTTTAACTGCAAGCTGTTTGGGACTGTAAATGGAACATCAGTAATTTATAGGCCTGAGTGCTTCCCACATGCAGGAATTGAATGCTATTCACTGACCTTGAACCAAAAGCAGGATCCCTGAAGTGTCCTGCATGCTGAGACAGCCCACATCTGGGCTGGAGCTAAACAGCTGCCTTTCATCCTACCTGAGCTGCTCATTTACCTGTGTCTCAGAATATGAAGAAAATGAACATGGACCAGTTTCCAATGCTCTGAGTATTAGTGGATAGACCTGGTCCACATACAGCTCTCTTCTTAGCAGAAGAGCTAATTCAAGTGCTACCAATTTCAAACATGAAACCCTTGAGACTCTGCAGTGTCTTAAGGACTAGGATGTGGCAGATAGTGCTCATGATAGGCTGGAGGGATCAAGGAAAGATGTGCTCACCTGACACAAAGGCCACTTTCTCCTTCAGTATAGGAAGCACATCAGCAGCTTTTAAACCATCATTTCGAAAAGAGCCTGCAAAACAGAAAAACAGGAAAGTCACATTAGAAGAGAGCATGTTCTGTTTCTCAAAATCAGACTGGAGATAGGCTATAAAATACATAAAAGCACCAACAAAGATACCCAAAAGGCTGATGAACAAACAACATTAACATAAATAGAAATGTGTTCATTAAAAAAAAACTAAAAATACAGAGACTCAGTTCATTTCACTATCCTTCAAAAGTTCTGAAAGGTTAAGAAATTTCCTACCAAGTAACCAGATTAATCCCTGCTGCCTTTTTCACAAACCATCCTATCAAGCCTGGGAGATGCTCATCTTGTAGAGCAAGCCAGGAGCCTTCTCCCTTCACTGTTCTGAGCATAGCCCAGGCAAAATTGCAGGGAACATTACGGCATATACACATCCATTTAACATCAGCCTTTGAGACAGATTTGTACAGGGGCTGGCTTAAAAAGGGCTTTTCCTCTTTGCCCCTTTCTGCTGCTCCTTAGGAGCCAGCCAAAGTCTTCCCTGTGTAAGGAGTGGTTTGAAGCCCCAGCACATTTCATGCTGTTTGACTACACGTTAAGCATATCTGCACAGGTCTTCCCTGAAGTGCCAAATCACTTCATGCATCCTAAATATTCCCCAAGAAGTCACAGAGTTTTACTCCAGAACTGCCCCATTTCAGGCTCCAGCAGCATGTCTGCTCTACAAAAGATGAGCAGTAAGGAATCAGCTCAGAGCAAGCCAGACACTGCTATTCCCACAAAAGGTGGGTTTGAAGGACACCTTTGCAGCTCCCCTGAAAATTAACTCATCCATCACTGGGTAGTGAATAATAGCCATCATGACAAGTGATCTTCCATATGGCCTTAGATCTATTCCAGCTCACCAAAGAATACAACACAATTGAAACCCTGTATTTTCACTTTCTGCCTTTCACAGGCAGGCAGTAACCAACATTCTTCTGATATGGTGCCAGGGTAGGAAATTCGCTGCAGCCATCACACCCTCCTTGCTGAACGCAGCAGATGGTACCTGACCCTTTGGGTCTGAAAGTGGGACTGGGGATAAAAGCACCCCCTTTACACTGTCATCATTGCTCCCAACATGCTGCCTCCAAAGGCAAAGTGCTTCAATCCATGCAGACATTTCGAACAGACAGGATGAGGATCGAAACATCCATTTTCACTCACAGCAGATCTACAAGTGTTTGTATTACTATGGTTGAGTTACTGGTTTTTTTGCAGTCAGATTGTGCAACAAGGCTGTCTTGTACATGTAAATATGTCCCTCCCTGGTGACCAAAGGCTACAGCTACCTCTCTGTGTCCCCACTTGCTCTGAGCTATCACTTCTGTGACACTCAGCTCCAGGAGATGTGTAAAGCTCAATGACTAAGCCTTAAACTAGTGAAAACTAGAAGTCAAAGGAGTGAGGTAATTCAATGCAAGGCCAAGACCACTGTACCTGCAATTTGAACAGACACTACAGCGCAGTCCCAGGGGAAGCCTAAAGAGTGTATTGTGTCAGTAAAGTGTTTTGGGACCAGGGAAATGAGTCCTGATTTTGAACTCTTTCTGTGTTCAAGTAAGCAGGACTTTGTGCACTCTGTGTTAAATATATGAGATTTTGCTATTAACTTATCCTCTTAACAAGAATAACCTCTCAGATCCCAGTCTGTGGCTACTTCTCACATCAAAGGTAGAAAGTGCTTAGCCACAGGCATTGTGGAATTTAAGAAGCTTTGTATATAAGCATCTCATCCAACCATGAAGCAAACAAGAACAGCCAATGTGCGAGACATATCACTCCACTCAGGTGGAGTACTGAGCCAAATTTATCCAGCTGCAAGATCTGCAGTGTCAGTGCAAGGTGAGTTTTGCCCAGTATTAGTTAAATTTATCAGGAAAATGGCAAAGCCAATTCTTAGGCACACAAATATGAAGAGCAGACAGTCTACAACTGAAATCTTTGTGAACGCTGCTGAAAATAGCCAGTGGGCATATGTAAAGCACACCATAAGGACTTCTTAGCAAGAACCCACTATACTGAGGGCTGAAGGCCCGTTTCAGACACTCTCTTGCAAGGAAGGACTGCATTTCACAGGGGAAATATGCATGGAGACCAGGAGAAAAACTTATGACTTTAAAAGACAGTCATCTCCTGAGCTGTAGCAGGGCAGGCTGCAGGCAAGGGGCTCTCTGGTAACAGCCCCAATGTCCTGACTGTACACAGGAGAGGCGAGGAAAGATTTAAGTGGGGACAGTGCTGCAGCAGGTAGTTTCCCCTTTCTCAGTATCACCCAGGACAGGTCAGACACACTCCAAAGTAAATTATGACTAAATTAAAACACTATGAGCCTGTCCTACAACCAGAGAATAAACAAAAAGCTGCAAAACTTCACTCAGGATGAAAAAGAAAACTCTGTAAGGCAGATCAGTGCCTAAAGCAATGCATGGTACTTAACCAAGTGGCAGCTCATGACCCACAGATGCAGGCATGGCCAGTGCTTCCAGAGGTTGCTCCAGTTCCTGACAAAATCCTTGCATTGGAGGCTACATCTCAGAGCATGCTGTCAGGTTTCCAGGAAGAGCTGGGGCAAGGTATGCATAAATGGGAAAACCAATGGCTCTAATAAAGACTCCAAAAGCAGCAGCCAATCTGTCTCCAGGAGAGGCCAGCATAGCAATGATGCATTCCCCAGTTTGTAAGTTATTATAAGCATATCCCTAATGATGCTCATTTTCATCCTCTTCCCCAGCTGTTTCTAATACATTTGTTTTGTTTGTTTGCGTGCTGGATCCAAGGCCATGTCTGCAGAGCACCATCTCATTTTGCTGCAGAGCCCCTGCACACAAAGGCTGTGCTTTGTAGCCTGCCCTACACCTCTCTGCTGCTCCTCTCAGACAGCCCTTCTGCAGCAGATGGACAGAGATGGACAGAGGGATGAAGGAAGGACAGGCTGAGCCATCCTGCCATTGTCCATGCATTGGTTTGCCATCCTCATAAACATGGGACTACACATCAGAGCCCCTCTTGTTTTCTACCTGCATGGTCTGCCAAAACACTTGAGCACTGCAATCACCTCTTTACCAGAAGAGAGGCACAGAGAGCATGGTAATGTGACCCAGTAACCGTGCAGCCCCTGACATCTTCATCACATCCTGGCTTAGTGTCCTATCCACGGAGCAGGGACACTATGGCTACAAACTTTTACTACTCCAGTGACCCAAGAAGAAAGCACACCATGCCAGCCTGAACAGCTGACAGTATCATGTGTTCTTGTAAACTCGGAAGCACTGAAGAATTAAGAGTGGATCCTCGGCATGGCTGATTCACATTTCAGGGCAGAGAAGCATTACACGTGCACAGAACATCTCCTAGCAGGGATTCCCTGGGTGGCAGAAGCAGCTCACAGTTTTAGATAAGATGCTGTAATGAGAAGCCAGATGGATGAGCTGAAAAGCTTAAGGCATGCTTCCATGGTAAATGCAACAATACTAAAATTGAGAAAATTTGTTTTTCCCCTGTACAAATGCCCCAACTGGCCTGGAGAGCTCGCTGCTGAAGGACATGGAGGTCAGCAGCTCAAGGAGCTTCCTGAACAGGTTGGAGATCAGCAAACAACAAACATCTCCAGAGAACTGTAAAGATTAATAAAATAAGCAAGAATTTTGTAAAGAATGTAAGCTTACAGACTTTGAAGTGAAAGCCAAGCACTAACTCTTGGAGTGAAAAATAAATTATCCCCAGAGAGAGCCCTGTGAGCTTTAGCATTTCTTTCTCAAAGCAGAGTGCAGGGTCTCTGCTGGAGACACTGTTTTGGGCTAGATGGAGCAATGGTCTTCTCCAGAGTGGCTTTTCCTAGAAAAGCTTCAGTTCTAATCTGAAAAATGCAGCTCTTGGCTTCAAATAAAGATCAGCTGCTGGAAATATGGAAATACTTTCTATACTTAAAAAAAGTATGCGTAGGCAAGAAGAAGGCCTCCTGTCAGAGCACTGCATGGGGTTTAATCACTTGGCTCCTGATGCCTTCAGCAAGAGTTGTTCATCCCAAGTCCCATGCAATGTTTCAGGAAAGGCAGCCCACATTCTCATAGTTCTCAGAACAGATTTGACTTTTTAAAAACTTTGGCATAAAGTTTCTTTAACCAAACAAAACTGAACTCCTTGGGCTAAACCCATCCCTCAAGGAACTCCACTGGAGTCCAGGATGCAACATTAGGATTAATCTGGTCCATATTTCTTCCTCCCCCAGTAAAGGCCTCTCTTGTACTTCTATACCCCCACTCTCCCACCTCAGTTTTTGGGGCATTTATCTCTCAGGTTTATCATAGCCTATTGCCTTCCTACATTTTTATTTCCTCCACCCCACCCCCCACAAAGTCTCAGTGGAATTTATTTGTCTTTGCAGTACTGTAGTGTCTTGGCTTCCTACAACACACAAACAGAAGGGACGTCTGATGTGAGCAGAGAGAGGCAGAACAAAGGAGACCTCAGTATTCCCATTGTAGCCTTTGCAAACTGAGACACAGAGAGATTGACTTGTCCAGTGTCAGACAGAAAGTTTGTGCAGAGCTGAACCCTCATTTCCCCAATGCTTTTCTCATACAAACATCCCTTTGTTTTCCAGCAGAATATAATCCTCCTTTTTCTTCTCTTTACACTTCTGGTTTCCTCCTCCTGCCCTTCTCTCTCCATTATTCTTTCCTTCTGCATTTATGCCTCAAATATTTACTTTTTGTGTGTGCTAAACCCTCCTTAACCCCTTCCTCCCCTTCCTGCAGGCTATTGTCTGTCCTTGCAGGGCTGTGAGACTTCCCAGTTTGATTTTTCTTCTTTTCCACAAGCCACACAGAGGGGCTTAGCCAAGGCCTGGTGGGGCCTTTGCCGCTGGGATTTTGCTGGCTGATGCTCATTGGTTCAAAGGCAGAGAGGCCACAGCATGGCACAAGCATTTGGTTGAATAGAAGCAACATGTGCTCTGGACTAGTACTTTAGGACCATCTGGCATAGATAAATGAGGC